TCTTGGCGCCTCTGCACAGAAGGCCCCTTGCTCGCCCCGGTCCAGAGCAGCTCCGGGGGAAAGCTGATAGGACCAGGAAAGCGGATCAGGCCAGAGGAGCATTCCTGGGCCCCGGAGCCGGCGCTGCGGGGCCAGGCCCACCCAGCTGTTGAGGAGAAGTTAAGGGGAGACAGCCCCGCGAGCGGAGAGCTCAGCAGAGCCAGGCTGGGCGGCAGATGCTTTGCAATAAGCGCTGCCCGAGGAGAGCAGCGGGACCGGGTCAACCCCCCCCTCACCCAACCGCCCCGAGTAAAGCTATTTCTGAGCAGAGACAGCGCCGCGCGGCGGGAGGGCTGGGCTGGGCTCTCCTCTCCTGTCCTCGCCGGGAGCGGTGGAGCCCCAAGGTCTGCCCGCAGGTCTCCACGCGCTCCTTGCCGCGCTCTCGCGCTGGGGGTTATTTTCACGCCAATCTCTCTGTTCCCCTCTTTTCTTTCTCTCCCTTGGCTGCTCTCTGACTCTTGATGTCCTAACGGCCTCCTTTGCCCTGTGACCTTCTGGTTTGATCTTCTTCAGCTGTTGCCTCTCCTCAATTCAGTGCGGCTGGCTCCACCTCCGGTCATAAAGAGACGCACTTTCCAGGTAGACTTCTCCTCCTCGTTGCCTGTTTCCAAGCCTCCTCTGACGCTTACGATTAATCAGCTTGCTCCCTCTCTTCCTTCCCCTACAGAGGGGTTTCCAAAAGCCTCGGGCAGAGCTGAGGGTTTTTCTTTGAGCTGGAGCAAATCTTTGGGGCAATAACGCGGCTAAAAAGAAACGCGGCGAAGCCAGTGTCTTTAAACTAAAAGAAACGGGCCGTGAAACTGCTCGCAGGAGCACGGACAAGCAGTGCCTTCTACCTTAAGGAGGTCAGCTCCTGGATAGCCAGTCTCAGGAGGAGGTGAGAAACCTCTTGCCGAGACGTGGCTGCGGCCTGTGAACGGCAGCTGAGCCCAATGAGCAGGCCCACGCCTCCGAGGGCTAGCAGAGTCGGGGACGCGCGGGAGAACGTGCTTGAGCGAACCCGTGCAACGGGTTCATGCAGTCGCGTTAAATCTTTGCGTAACCGCGTTGGTTTTGGTTTACAGGGGCCATAACTCACGTTTAGTTTACTTCGCTTTGGAGTTCACGGGGCTTTTAATGAGCTCGCTCTAAGCTGCCGCGTTTCAACTGAAATTCACTTTCCCGTGCGCGGACAAGCCACTGTAACTGCCCCGCGGAGGCGTCCCGGGCACCCTCTGTTCAGAGGCGGGTCCCCCCCGCAGCGTGCCTGCCCGGATGCCAACAGGGGATCGTACTCTGCAGTACGGGCCTTCGCCGCAAGGCGCCCAGTCCGTGCCTAGGACGGTGTAAAATTCCTGGTGGTGTCACTTGGGCCGGCGCTCTCCCTTCAGTTTGTACGGATTCAGTGTTTACAGCCCGTAAAGCCCCCACGGCTTGCGCCGCTTGCCCTTCAAAGTGAGAGTCTGGAGAGCCAGGCCGGGGCCTGACCTCTCGGGAAGGCTTTGAAAGCTGATGTTCGGATCCAGGATGAAGTAGGAAACTCGCATAGCTGCCCTGCGTCCTGTCGTCAGCCAGGGCTGCAAACCCCCTCCGTCCGCAGAGGCTAACTTCACCGGAGGCCCTGCTAAAAGCACGTGATCCCCTTTGCCGCTGCCGTAGTCGTGCCCCGAGTGCGAGAAGGTGTCACCCAGCCCGAGAGCTGTGCCAGCGCTGAGCGATCCCAGGAGCCTGGCAGCGGAGCGTTGCGGGGGGGAAAGCGACGCTGCGGAATAAACGCTGGCGCCTTAGAGAGGCAAATCCTGCTGCTACCTGCAGCACGCTGGCAAGGCTGTTTTGCCCGAGGGCTCGGGAGAGACGCGGGCTAAGCAGAGAGGAAATTTTCTTTTCCGTGGCGCGCTCGTTGCAAAGGGATGAAATTTGCAGCTTATTATTTTCGTCTATCGTTCTGAGTAAAGCAAACATCCGCGTGTTTTATTAACGCCAGCCAAGACAAGCAGCACAGGCGTCAGGAACGCGTGCAGGGGGCGGATTTTCGGGCTTTCTCCCGCACGCGAGAGCGGACTTCGCGTTTTCCCCAGCAGCGGCGCGCGAGCCTGCCGAGCTCCCGAGCGCAGCAGAGACCCACCTGTTTCTCCCGCAGACCCACCGCTTCT